CTCTATAACTGTTATAGAGTTTGCGAATATACTACTGGGGATGGTACCCAGGCTACATTTGCCTGTACATGTAGGTCAATGACCACACAGGCAAAATGACCTGCAGACCAGACAAACAAGATTTATTTTCCTGCAGACTCTGTCTAGGGGTAAAAATAGATAGGGCTGCCTGGGTCTGACCTGCCAGCTGGAGGTATAAACAAAAACACTCTGTCCCAACTTTTGGGTCAAACAGACCATCCTATTATTAAGTAGGGGTGAAAAAAGTGAAAATCCTTTTAAATTAAGCAATAAAAATATGCGACAACCTGCTAATGCACTCCAAAACACAAAGAGACTCAACAACTACCCACATACCAAAAAGCATACCAAACCATCCCCCAGATTTTCCAAACATTCAACACAAAAAGTCCAACATTAAACATTTTGTAAATATCAAACGCAAACAGCTAGGGGACCCAAATTTAAACCACTAAACCATGGTAATAACAACTGCATGCTACCTTAATATCGCACAAACAGTCCATAACGCGAAAACAACAGAATAAAAAAATTAAACTGCAGTACCAAGGTCAATCACCAGGGGCTCAAAGTCAACCTACACAATCTCCAAGGCCCCATCCATCAATCTGCCAAATATCGTACAGTTCCTTCTCACCGATCTTCAGATATCAGACCATCTTTCTCTTGTGATCTTGTGATCTTTCTCAAAACCCCTCCCTCATTGACCTGATCTTTACGGATGCTACTAATTATGTAGATTCTACTACAGTCCATGCCCCCTTGTCAGGATGTCATCACTGCCCGACCATTTGTTCTATGTCCTTGTCTCCTTATACACCGAAACCTTATCATCGTACTATCTGGGATTATCAACATATAGATAAAGAGAGGCTATTGTCTTTCTGTTCTTCCTTCAAGTGGAATGATATTTTTCTTTGTTCATCTGTAGACTCAGCTGCCGAAAAATTATGCGAGCTCATTCTCGAAGCCAAGCAACAGTGCGTCCCTAGCAAAAAAATTTAAATCAGACCGAAAGATAAACCCTGGATTTCCACAGAAATTCGTAAACTTATGCGCTCTCGCGACAAACTACACAAACAAGCCCGGCGTCTCAACACACATGCAAATTGGGTTGCATACCGTAAGGTACGCAACAGACTCAACAACCTCATTTCCACTAACAAATCCAATTATTACCAACGTCTCATAGAGTCGCTTAATGACCCATCCATTTCCAGTAAAAAATGGTGGCATGTTGTCAAATATTTTTACAGACCGAAGGTTTCTACCTCCATTCCACCTCTTCAGGAGGGCAGTTCTTATATCTTTGACTCGCTTGAGAAGGCTAGAATCTTAAACCAGTATTTTGTTTCCCAGTCGACTATTGACGATCCACACGCCTCCCTCCCGGCCTTTGACTACCTTACATCCAGTCGGCTTTGCCACATCACTACCTCCCCTGATGAAGTTTTACTGTTTATCAACAACCTGGATACTGGCAAGGCCCATGGTTACGACAATATCGACAACCATTTTCTTACAATTATTGCCCCTCTAATTGCAGATCATATATCCTTTGTCTTTAATTTGTCACTTTGTCATGGCCTCTTCCCCGAAACTTGGAAATATGCACGTGTTATACCGATTTTTAAAAAAGGCGACCCACAAGACAAATGTAATTACCGACCTATATCTCTACTGCCCACCCTGTCAAAGGTACTTGAAAAAATAGTTTACNATCAGGCCGTGTTTAGTTCTGACGTGGTGTCAGTAGGTAACAAGTCTGATAAGTGTTGGGTCTGAAAAAGTATCAATTCAAATCAGCCGAACTGCAAACTCAAGGAATAACGTCACGGTTGAGTGCACGTGGCGCAGCACAGAACCCAACATGAAACGTATTAAATAACATCATTGAAACTATTTCTTTTCTCGAATATTTTGGTCTAGTTTTGTAGTTTGGAAACTTTCCGGATAAGAAAGAATAGGAAGGGCTTTCCCAGTTTGGTCAACTTAGATCAAATTTGATTTGGCATAAGGACAAAAACATCGTAGGAAGACACCTTGCAAAAATCATGATAATCTATCCATCACTTGGGCTGATTACCAGTATCTATAATTGCTAACTGACAGAGAAAGACTACTGCCCCAAGCTCCATGAGCATGGTAGTACAGTAGTCCAGATGTTGACAAAAAATTCAGTTGAGATAGAAGGAGACCTTTAACAAGTCATATGTCAAAGCTGATTGCACCCAAATCCTTTTAACTGTCCTCACGAACTCAGATTAGGCATCAGGGCACTGACGTAAAACATAAAACTTATTAACATCATTAAAACCTTTTCTTTTCTCCAATATTTGGGTCTAGTCTGTTAGTTTGGCGAATTTTGGGATAAGAGAGAACAGGTAGAATCTGAGCTTTCCGAATTTGGTCAATTTAGATCAGTTCACCAGTTTGATTTGGCATAAGGACAAAAACATCATGGGAAGACATCTTGCAAAGAATCATGACAACCTGTCTATCACTTGGACCGATTCCCAGTATCCATAATTGCTCAGTGCCCCAGGGTGTGAGCAGTCCTGGGTCCTAATTTCCGGTGGTGAAAAAATACCTTCTATTTGGATACTTCTAACATAATATTCAATTGGACCTGCAGTATTACCTTATGGATACTATCTCAGTTTTCATACTAGACACGGTCCAATTTGTTTGCTGTAATGGAGGAGTAGAGGCTAAAAAGTACACAGACGGACGGATACATAACAGAACAATTACATTGGTGAGAACTATAACCCGTTAAACGGTGTCAAGAAGTAATCATAGTCATTTCGAGGAGCAGTGATGCGTATGGATAATTGGTCGGTACAGTAGTAGACTTGCGGCCACACCTACTTAATTCTATGGACGGCAGAAACACCAAAACTTAAGCGAGCGGGTGAATTAAAAAAAGTCCAGCCTCTACCTTAGGAATAGAAGGCTGGCATTGAGATTATGCGGTTGTTCATAACTACTTTAACAACATGCCGTGGCATGCTGGCCTTTTGCAACATTTATGAGTCTGTACTCCCTACTGTACAATGAGACATGTTCAGACTATTTATTATCAGCTGAAACATGGTGCTGTCATTCATTATATCAGAATAAATAGTACAAGTACAGTTATAATGCCGGTTTAGGTACACAATCATTGAACACCAAGGGACATACAACAAGTGGTCAAGACTACATTAAATTCCTGAAAGTAGAGACAGCAGAGAAATACTAAGTGGTAAAATTAAACTTGGTGACATCAGGAACTTTCTTTCAAAGTATATCATTTTGTTGCTCACGCCGCGCTCTCTCTGCGACCTGAGATTAGCCAGAGCGGAGAGAGATCGCCGACGTCACCATGTTTGAAAAATGAATTAATGTTTAGACCATTGTGCGCTCTTATGGCGCTTCCTCTACTCTCTATACGCTTTCATTGCTCTTTCTCTGCGTTTTTTGTTGGATCGCCGTCCTCGGCGAGCTCACGGCGACGATACGAGCCGGTTGAAAACAGTCACCGCGGTGTCGTCTCACATGGCCCTCTCATTGCGCTCCCTTTGCCCTCCCATGACGACCTTGGCCAATCTTCTGCGCTCCGGCCAATGTCAGGTCGCAGACAAAGAGCGCTGTGAGAGTGCCGCCCATATTGAATGGGACTTAGGCTAGTCATTTATGTACAAGACTTTGGGGAGTCCATTCATTTTTGCACTTGCAAAGGGACTGACGATAATTAATATGGATATTTTGGCGTAGTTTTATTCTAGCACCTTCATGGCATTGCAAGTAGGCGTTTTCAGTGTGTAGCTAACTACTGATCCCA